CCCCCTGATTCGGAGGAAGATTGGCCTTGTATTCTATTCCGGCCTTCAGCTGGTTGGCTGAGGCCTGCTCATATCAAGGAGGGCCATCTGCCTTGCTCAGTGAATGTTAAATTTATTCAAAAATATCCTCAGAGAAACATCCAGAATAATGTATAACCAAATATCTGGGCACCCTGTGACTTAGTCAAACGGACACATAAGGCCAGGCATGGAAGCTCACGCCTGTAGCAATCCCAGCACTTTGGGAGACCGAGGCTGGCGGATTACTTGAGGCCAGGAGTTGGAGACCTGCCTGGCCAACATGGTGAAACCCCATCTCTACCAAAAAAATAAAACATTAGCCGGGAGTGGTGGTGCACGCCTGTATTCCCAGCTACTCGGGAGGCTGAGTCACGAGAATCGCTTGAACGCAGGAGGCGGAGGTTGCAGTGAGCCGAGATTGCACCCCTGCACTCCAGCCTGGGTGACAAAGAGAGACTCTATCTCAAAAAACAGAACAAAACAAAACAAACAAACAAAAAAACAAAAATACCCTGACACATAAAATTAATTACCAACGGAGTTTTCTGAGGCAAAGAGTAGTAAAGCTCTTGCCTTTTTCTTCTTGCCTATGAGGTTGGTTCAGATTCTTCTAATAGCCAATGGTTGTTGGCCAGTTTTACTCTGAATGACACCTTTCTTTCTTTTTATTCAGGTTTCCCTCTGTCACCCAGGCTGGAGTGCAGGGGCACAATCATGGCTCACAGCAGCCTTGCGCTTCCAGGCTTAACCAAACCTTTCACCTTGGCCTTCTGAGTAGCTACGGGCCTGCACCACCACATCTGGCTAATATTTTTCTTTTTTAAAAAATTTTTAGTAGAGACGAGGTCTTGCTATGTTGCCCAGTCTAGTCCTGAACTCTTGAGCTCAAGCAGTCCTCTAGCCTTGGCCTCAGAAAGTGCTGGAATTATAGGCGTGAGCCACCGCACCCAGCCCTGAGTGACATTATTTCATACAAAATTCTCATCTCTGGAAGCCTTTGTATTTTTAGGGGTTTTGTTTTTCAAATGCTTTTCACCTCCTTCTATATTTGTTCATTTTTAAATGTTTCCTGGCAGAGCAATTAGTATTTTCTGGCTTGCTAGGTGCTATTCGATTGCATTAGCTTTTGAATATTACCCAGCTAGTTGTGGAGTGGGGCAGTAAGCTCATAAAGAAGCAAGATAGTGGAATACACAAGTATTACTACGACTTTATGGATGGCACACCTGATTCTTGATCCATGTGACTGTGTTCAGATCTGGTTAGCACACGATGACATCAGGTGCTGAGCCACCAGTGAGACTCAAACCCAGCAGCCCTGTCAGTCTACCTTCTCTCTTAACTTGATCCAGCCTCATAACTTCACTTTCCACAGGAGGAATACACCTCTTGAGGTCCTGTGTTACAAATAGGCAGTGTTTCTGGAGAAAGCCAGGAGGCAGATTTTAGTGCTGGTTAGCATCTGTGGCCTCTACTTTCTGGATTTGGTGCATTTTGGAGACCACAGAATGCCATGAAATAGCTCAGTGCTGCCAGTGGCGTTGACAGGGACACTAGAGGTAAAGGAGGGCCCTTGGGGCAATTCCAGCAGGGGGGTGGTGGCTGAAAGTCCTAGTCTTCTTTCTGCAGAGACTGGCCACTGCTTCATTCTTTCAAGAAGCACCAAATCCCTACTTTAGTACTTTGCCTTGTAACAGCCCACTCATGATGTCAGGAGAATGAAACTCATGGGGCCTTCATTTACTTTTATCCTGTAACACCTCCAATTTTTCCCACATCCTCCCTTGATTCGTGGATGGACAACTATGGAGGCCAGTCTGGCTGAGGTGACGACTGCTTCAGTCAAAATTCTTCTCTGTCTCCTCAACCCCAATTCAGACTGGCCTGAGCAAAATGCATGTATTGATCCATAACTGAAAAGTCCAGAGCGGTCAGGCATCAGGCATGGCTGGATCCAGAGGCCCATATATTAGAACCATCTCTTTCCAGTTCTGGGCTCTGCTAGCCTCCCAGTTGGTTTTACTGCACAGAGGTTTATTCAAGTCCAAAGAGATCTTATGTTTGTCTACAAGTCTGTGACCTTGATTCTGAACCTGTGTCTATGGGAAGGGGTTGCAGTGTCTGAGTGAGCTTGTACTGTGTAAACTCTCCCACTTCTGAAGCTGGGTGTGGGGTTCACTCCACTAAGCTACATGGCTTTAGAGTCAGGGGACTGCCCCCTAAGTAGTTGGCAGTAATTGTTACCAGAAAAATCATGAATGGACATTGAGCAGAAAACTCAGCAGATGTTTATTTCCTGGTCTTGAGGATTTGTTGAAGAGTTTTTTGTTTGTTTGTTTTTTAAGAAAGACTCAAAGGAGGAGGGGGGAGAAACTATAGTTATTTTATCATGGTATAAAAAGATTTTGTAGTTGTATATACATTTGAACTTTTTATAAGACATCTCCTACCCCCCTAAAATTGGAAGTCATTTATTAAGACTTTGTATTCTGTAAGAGGATTGGAAATGAATAATTAAGAACATTAAAGAGGACAGCTGGGGGGCGGTGGGGAAGTGTGGTTTTGAAGGGGTAATAAACCTCCTTCCGGCCACACACACACACACACACACACAGGAAAGGAAAGCAGTGTAGCCCGGTAAGATAAGGTGGAGAATAAGGTTAGGGGTAAGGTTAATTCTACAAGTTCAAAGCCAGTAGCCCCTGATGCAATGCTGGACGTGAACTGTAAATTTGGCTCTGAGGTTCCCAGGCATGGGAGAATATCTAGATCTGTACAGAGAGGTTGTGTGTGTGTTTAACATTTCCATAAGGTACAATTTCCTCTAAGAATAAAGGCCATGAGGAAATGCCCGTGGAAGATAAAGAAGAGCATGTGGTCTGTGGCAACCACGGATTCATTTCTTTCCCAGCGCGTTCTCTGGGGCACTTTGGTAACTCTGCCTCTTTGCTCTCAGCATTGTGTTAGAAAATAAAGCAAGCAGACAGGGATTAAACCCTCATGTTGCTGGGTTCCTTCTAGAAACAATTGGAGGGCTAACCGAGTCACCTTTGGTGGAAGGCAGTAACGTGAGTCACTGCTGTGGCTGGACTGAATAGGATAGCCTTAGCTGTAAAATTGGGCTGATCTTTCAAATGGACTCATGCTTGCCTAATGACTCACGCTCCTGTTTACAAATCAGCTCTGTGAAGAAATGCAGAGTGGGACGCTCTGCTTCCCAGACGGAGACCTTAGACCTCCAGGGGTGGAGAACCAAGTACTTCCTCTGGTGCTCAGCTTCCCTTCCTGGGGGCAGATCTCTCAGCTTCTGGCAGTTAGTTGATTGCTCTCAAAATCCAGACACAGGGTCAGCTGCAGCCAGCATGGGCCCTGGAGTAGTAGCTCCAGTTATGGGGCAGCAATGGCCGCCTCTCATTTTGGGAGCTCACTTTGCCTGTGGATGGTTTCAATCCATCTGGATAAACTTGGAGCCCATGGGAATACCATGTACTGTGGTAACCATGTACATTGCTCTAAAGACGTGGCTGCTGTGGTATACATTTTTCCTTTATTTTTATCAATTTCCTCTTTTCCAGAGTCTTCCATACCCACTATGTCTACTGTGATAGTGAACGTAAAAAACGTACAAGATGTTGGTGTTATCCTCAATCTCTTAGTCTTAATCCTGAACAAATTACGCGAAAAAATTGTTCATGGAGTTTTTCCTCGTATAAAACTTTTTGCAATGAATATAAAAGGCATAGCTATTTCTCTTTTTTAAAAAAGGAAAGCAGAATAATATTTCTTGGTTGCAAAGTCGCCCTTCTTGGACCCCAAGTTGTTTTTTACAGCCCTAAATTCTCTTGTTTATAGAGCCATAGACAGGCCAATGGGTCTCTACAGCAGGCACCTGCATGAGTTGACTGGGACCTGGTCTATATTACCCTCTGCCATTTACTAGCTGTGTGACCTTGGGCATGCTCCTTACAGTCTCTGAGTCAGTTTCCTCCTCTGTGAAATGGGCATGATACTACCTACCTCATAAAGTAGGTGTGAGGATTAATGGAGTAAGAGGCACACTCCTGTCCAGGGCCCCAGACAGAGTAGGCTGTCAGTAAACTGTAGTAGTTATTGTGACAGGGTTTGAAATTCAAATTAACACATATCTCTTGAGCACCCAAGGTGTGTGCTGCCAGATCTTTCAGGGGGTCCAGGATTGGTAGTATAGTTGCTTTTCTCAAAAGACTGTCGCCTGGCAGAGGAAAAGGTGTTAAGGTATGAGTGAAGACAGATCAACCAAGCATGGTGCTGCTTGCCTGAGATCTCAACACTTTGGGAGGCCGAAGTAGAAGGATTGCCTGAGCCCAGGAGTTCGAGATCAGCCTGAGCAACATAGCAAGATTCTGTCTCCACACACACAAAAATAAAAAGATTAGCTGGGTGTGGTGGTGTGTACCTGTAGTCCTAACTGTTTGGGAGGCTGAGACAGGAGGATTGCCCAGAAGTTTAAGTTCAATCCGGGCAACATAGCAAGACCCCATCTCTTTAAAAAAAAAAATCAGCTCCCCAAACAGCTGAAGTATTAAGTGGAACCATATGTAATTGTATTTTTGTGGGACAGAAATACCAGCAATTTCACATAACTAATAGATTCAGTAAGGTAAGTTGAGAGAGAAAATGCTAGCTAGGTGATTCTTGAGAGGCTCAGAGGAAGGGGAGGCCATGCCCATTAGGAGAATGGTGGGTAGGGGTGAGAATACAGAACAGGAAGGCTGCCTGGAGGAGGCTGCATTTCAGATGTTCCTAGAAGGGACCCTGAGCTGGATGGCAGGGAAATGGGAGAGTTCTGATTTGCGCTGGGAACTATAATCCCTCTTGCTTGGAGCTTCTGTAGAAATGTGGGTTAGGGTAGAAAGGAAGGCTGGGGGCTGTGTGTGCCTTGGTGACGTGTCCCCCTCACTCCCGAGCCTTACTCTGTTCCCCTTTCTTCCTGGCAGCAGAGCCCCCTCCCTTGCTGCACTCAGGGACATGACTGTCAGCACTTCTACCCCCCCTCAGACTTCACTGTCAGCACTCAAGTCTTCAGGGACATGAAAAGGAGCCACTCCTTACAAAAAGTTGGGGAGCCCTGGTGTATTGAGGTAGGTCTCGGAGCAGAATGACGGTATGAGATGAGTTAGCTCTGAAATGAAGCCGCCCATCCAAAGTTTACCTCTCTCTAGGGCAGGGCCCATCCTCTGCGGTCCCTGAATTCTTGGCGGGTCACTGTCATTTCGGGTGCCATGATGTCTGGGTGTGCTGACCACTGATAGGGATATCATAGCCATAAAAATGCCTGTTTACAAGGAGAGGGTGGAGGGTGGTGCTCCCATGCTTCCAGGATACCTGGCTCCCAGTGAAGGCCTCGTGATCCAGTGCCACACGTAACTTCCGTGAAAATGAGGAACACAACATTGTCCCATTAAACTTGGCCCCAGGAAGTGTCTCCCGGGACTCTTCACAGTTCGCAACGGAGAAGCTACCACCTCAACTTCGCCTCCGTTACTAGTAATTTAGAACTTAAAGATTTTCTTTTAAAATTCAGGGTGCTGGAAAATGCCCGCTTTGCCTCGACAGTACCTCCCAGAGGCAGCCGTGAATGGCTTTACTTGCAGGTGTTGCTCTCCAAGGACAGGAAGCATTGTTAATTTCCTTTAAATAACTCAGTACAACATCAATCCCCCACACTGCTCAGTGCTTGCGAGTGGCAGTTCTCTTCAAATTAGTAGTCCTAAAGAAAAAAGAACATCTAGAATATGCTTTTATCTTGAGAAAAGCAAAAGTCAATGCAGATGAAAAATTTTCAAGGAACGCTTAGATTTAAACAGCAAATGATTTAGTACTAATGTTAGCTTTTAGAAAAAGAAAACTGAATATTTATGAACCGATTAATAAAGCCTCTGTTTTTAAAAACATTTATTGTATACCTACTGGGTGCTGTGCGATGTGTTAGAGCCACAGGAACAGAAAGCAGTGTCTCCAGCAGGCAGAAACCTGGAGTGATATATATGTACGTAAGTCTTGCTGTTGGAGAGAGAAAACGTGGAATAAATCATCTTTAAAAGTTTGTTCTGGCATAGGAAGTGATAAATAGCCATATAAGAGAACTAGAAACTGTAAAAATATATAAAGAAAATGTAAATACCTATATTCTTATTACCTATTGATAATCTCTCTGTTTTTTTTTTGAGATGGAGTCTCGTTCTGTTGCCCAGGCTGGAGTGCGGTGGCGCGATCTCAGCTCACTGCAACCTTTGCTTCCCGGGTTCAAGCGATTCTCCTGCCTCAGCCTCCTGAGTAACTGGACTACATGTGCACGCCACCAAGCCCAGCTACTTTTTGTATTTTTAGTAAAGACGGGCTTTCACCGTGTTAGCCAGGATGATCTCGATCTCCTGACCTCGTGATCCGCCTGTCTCGGCCTCCCAAAGTGCTGGGGTTACAGGTGTGAGCCACCGCACCTGGCCTTTTTTATTTTTCAATTTTTTTTTTTGAGATGGAGTCTCACTCTGTCTCCCAGGCTGGAGTGTGTGATCTTGGCTCACTGTGACCTCCACCTGCCAGGTTCAAGAAATTCTCCTGCCTCGTGAGTAGCTGGGATTACAGGTGTTTGCCACCACACCCGGCTAATTTTTGTATTTTTAGTAGAGACGGGATTTTGCCATGTTGGTCAGACTGGTCTTGAACTCCTGACCTCAGGTCATCCGCCTGCCTCGGCCTCCCAAAGTGCTGGGATTACAGGCGTGAGCCACCATGTCTGTCTGATAATCTCTCGATATTTGGATACGTTTCCAAATTTCTAATCATTCATGTGCACAAAATTGGGATTATACCTCATAAGGTTTTGCAAATTCTTTCTACTTTTAATTCTAGGAACACTTTTTGATATTATAACATACCTAATTCTCTTTAGTAACTTCATGTACTAAAGTGGAAATCCTCTGGTCCAACTATTCCCTGTTAGCCAAATGTGCATAAAACTGAAGATGTGGCTGGGTGCAGTGGCTCACACCTGTAATCCTAGCACTTTGGAAGGCTGAGGTGGGCAGATCACCATGTCGGGAGTTCGAGACCAGTGAAACTCGTCTCTACTAAAAATAACGAAAATTAGTTGGGCGTGGTGGCACGCGCCTGTAATCCCAGCTACTTGGGAGGCTGAGGCAGGAGAATCGCTTGAACCCGGGAGACAGAGGTTACAGTGAGCCGAGATTGCACCACTGTACTCCAGCCTGGGCAACAGAGTGAGACTCCGTCTCAAAATGTTTCTGGAGTCCTTCAGACTTTTGCTGTCTTGCACGCTTGCCTCTGATCTTACATGTTCTTGGGCCGTGCCTATGTCTTGATTACCTGGAGCTACTGCCTGTGTGTGTAAGGAGCATGCCCTTTAACTGGCCTGGGTCTGATAGAGCAGGGAGGCCCCCTTTCTTCTGCATTAGCCATGGCCTGGTGGAAGATTTTTTTCAGTAGCCTGTAGTTGGTTCAGCTTTTAATAAGCATAGCTGTTCATTCTGGCTATTTACGTTAAGATGATATGAATATAGCTATTCTCCCATCAGAGCCTGGCACATGGTAACTCATTAATCTTTGGTTGGCGGCAGGAGGTAGATAAAGGAACTGGGCACCCATTTTAAGTATGAGGAAAACGAAACAGAAAGACTGGGTTTCTTCCTTATAACTCAAGATCCGCAGGAGCTGATTAGATCCCTGGCGCCAGTGACTGAGCATTTCTCAGCCTTGTCCTCAGAACCCAGCAGCATCTCCCAGGGACGTGCCAAAATGCCACGTTTCCAGGATGTCATCTAAATCTGTAAACCGTGAATAGGTGAGATATAAAGATGCCACTTAATGGGCTGTGCCACCTTGGGCAAGTTACCCGACTGATCTGTGCTTCAATTTCTCCATCAGTGATAAAGGTTCACATACGGGCTATATATAAAGGGAGTGCTTGGTGAGAGAGTTGGTGGGCTCAGACTGGTGCAGGCAATTAGCAGGATTCTTGAGGAATCACACCCTGATGGTGCGTCCGTGTGATGGGCTGGTCGCTGCTGGAGTAGCTCAGTTATGTGTTCCCTGTAGGTTTTCATGGAAATTCACATGTAACATTCCTAGTACCTACTTCAAGAATTTTGGTGGTGGCTGGGCGTGGTGGGTCACACCTGCAATCTCAGCACTTTGGGAGGCCGAGGCAGGTGGATCACAAGGTGTCAGGAGTTCAAGACCACCCTGGCCAACATGGTGAAACCCCGTCTCTACTAAAAATACAAAAATTAGCCAGGCGTGGTGGCACATGCCTGTAATTCCAGTTACTTGGGAGGCTGAGGCAGGATAATTGCTTGAACCTGGGAGGCAGAGGTTGCAGTGAGCCAAGATAGCACCACTGCACTCCAGCCTGGGTGACGGAGCAAGACTCCCTCGGTGGGGGGGTGGGGGCAGGGGAAGAATTTTGGTGATGTCTCAAAATCCTGATCCCACAGCATGGGTGTGATAGAAATAGCTCTGCAGAGTGTGGTGGGGACCTCCTGTGACTGGTCATAAGAACTAAGTTTGAGTCCAGCCCTCACTTTTTTGACAAGGTGCTTCCCTGCTCTGTGATGCAATTCCTGCATCTGCAAAAAAGGGGGTGGTCATGGGATATTCCCCCAGTCTGCTCCACTGGGTACCTACAGAGATCCCTTGACATTTAACACAGGCTTCCTGTGATCCAGGAACTATTGTAAGAATTACTGTAACTACCTCCTATATTAACTTTTCCAAACCTTGATAGCAACCTTATGAGGGAGGTGCTGTGATTATTCCCATTTTGCAATTAAGGTAACTGAGCCAGAGAGAGAGAAAGCAACATCCCTGAGATCACACAGCTGAAGAGTGATAGCTATAAAATTACTGGTAATGAAGGGCCATGGTTATTGGCCATGGTTCAGAGCCGTGATACCAGCCATCTTCCACTTGTTCAGGGAGAACGTGTTTGATCCTTTTCTTCACTCAGCCACCTTAGGAGTTGGGAGGAAATTTTGGTTCCGGATCCCTAAGTTCTTACAAGTCTCAACAGTTGTACTTTCTGTCCCATCCACATTTCAAATTCATTGTCCCTTCTCTTTCTTTCCATGTAATTTAGCCGGATTCGAACCCTTTAGATCCCTTCCTCTAGGGAATTAAGGTTGGTAGACCAGCTGAGTAAATGTGACTCAGAAAGTCAATATCCACCTGGGCAGGGATGAGTCATTTCTTTCTAGTTAGCTATTCATGTACATTTTAAAGCTCGCCACACAAAGTCATTACATTGAGGCTATTAACATGTTTAATAGTGACAATAATAGGGTGTGACCCATGGCATATAACCGCATTCAGATAAGAAGAAAGAGTTTTCTTTTTTTTTCTTCCTGTAATTGCTCAGTCAATACCATTTTCACGGAAATACTTGCAAACAAACTTTTAAAAAGTTCTTTGTCCAAACCCTTCCCTGATTCCTTGTTTCCTTCCTCTTCAGGGGTTCTATAAACTTTTCCTGATCAGTGGCCGGGGATTAGCGAGATGGTGCACTCTGTCCTTGTGATTTTGTGGTTGACCTACCCTTTTGCTGGTGTTCAGCCAGTTTTTATTGCATTTTTTGGGGGGTGTGTGTGCGCGTGCACACGCATGTGTGTATTTTCAGGAGGGGGCACATTATTGCTGCTACTTGCTTGTTAACCTCTCAATCTAGAAATTTCAGGGAAGAAGAGACTTCCGCTAAATTTGCCAAGCTAGACGCATAAACAAGGAGTTAGCCATTTTGGTGAGAGGAAATGAAACTTTTCTTGGGTTTATTAGACCACATCCTATGTGGCTTATTATATGTCTGATTTCTAAAAAGCATGTCATCATGGTCAAAGTTTTATTTTTGCTTGTTAGTCATTTGAAACAAATATAGATATTGCTTCATTTCCTGGGTACTGTATTTTTCAGTACGTGATATGTATGGAAAATTTGGATCTACACAATGAAGTGCACTAGAAGGGAAGTATTTGCTAATTTATAAGTCTCTACATTATAACTTTGGATTAGCAAGCATTCTGCTAACTAAACATTTTCATTTATCTCCTACCCCTGATTATATAAAGAAGCA